AGTCATACACAGGATCCCCCTGACCATTGGGCGGTGTCCGGGAGATCAGAACCCCTCAGATACTCTGGGAGCTAAAAAGGCGCCGGCCTTGTCCTCCCAGAAGGCCCACGCAGCCGCTGAAAGAAACCCAAGCAAAACCCAGCGACCTCAAAATTCGCCAGGGGATAAGGGGGAGAGGAAAACCACTCACTCTCACATGCCCTGTCAGTCCCCCCACGCCACCATCCCAATGTCTGATCAGGCTTGATTCTGCTGACGTGTGTATTTCAGATTAAGGATGTATTTATTTATTTATTTATTAATCCTTCAGATCTTCCCACCCCATAAAAGAGACTTAATTCCTTTCCAGGGCGACGGGTTGATAAAAAGACTCCATTTTAAAGCAATGGGGGATCATATGACTGTGACCTTGACGTGCGAAAGGGGGGAGGGGCAGGTAGTTTGGGGCCCAGACCTTAGGCTTCTGCAATTCTGGGGCGTTCTAGGCCCTTGATAAGAACATCAACAAGAGGGATTTATTTTCAAAGGTTACCATTAGCAGTTCATTCACTAAAGTTGAGAATTCGGTATTTTTATATTACGTGAAATACATGATTTAATTATACTCCAAAAACAAATTAAGGACAGGCCTTCTACACAAATTGGAGGCAGCTAAATGCTCTTTTGTGCCTGCAGCCCTCGGGTTGTTAAAGAGGCTGCTGATGCATGAGAAGTAAGTGACTGATTTAACTCATTGGGATGCAGGAAGCGACCTGCCCTCTTTTGAAAAAAAGCAAGAGAGAGAGAGAAAGAGAGAGAGTTCGAGCTTGAGAAGAGAGAGGGAGGGGAGAGGAGAGGAGGGAGAAGGAAATGACAGAGGGGGGGCAGAGAGAGAGAGAGAGAGAGAGAGAGAGAGAGAGAGAGAAAGGAGAGAGAGAACGCAGAGGGAGGGAGGCAGGGAGGGAGACCAAACCCCCGCTTTACTGCGTTGAAAGCTTCTGAATTTCAAGCAGAAAGTAGAAGGAGCTCCAAAGGCAGTGAGCATCTTTCCTTGGGCTGCGTGTGCCGAGCGTAGACAATGAAAATCTCCATCCCCCTCCCCCATTCCCACTAGGCTACAAGATTCTTGTTTTCGTTCCTTCTCACCGGTGGAAAATATGTAAAATCAAAGATGTAGAGGTGTGTAGTGATTTTTTCAAAAGCCAACTAACCCACCGCACGGGCTGCGACGCGGATTACCCGAGCGCACGCCGGCTGTAAGTACCATCCTTTCCTGCTGTAGCCGGGCTCTGCGTCCCGAGCTGGGCTGGGAGTGTTCGCTTTGTGAGTCGGGTTGTTGCTTGTGTTTTGGTTCGCAGGGGCTTCTTCGAAGCTTGCACTTTTCGCATGTGAGCGGGAGAAGCATTTAGCCGGTTGTGGGCGTGCAGAACACGATCCTGGTTGACTTTGATGCGGTGACTTGGGGTGGCGGGCGGGGGGCGGCGGGAGGCGCTGAGTGGAGGAGTTCCCGCGTCGCGAGCATCCTTGAGAGCCGCCGGCTCAGCTCGGGGCTGTAAGGTTGGTTCCTGGCAATGGATGGAAATCAGGTCACAGAGATCCCTAAGCTCGCCGGGCTCCCAGACGCACTTGGGGGACAGAATGGAATTGGAAGGAGGGATCTGAAGAGGAGGAAGGGTACCCGTGTTCCCCCATCCCGGGCCTAGAATGGAGCCCCGGCCAGCCGCGGGTCGGGCCCCTCGGTTTTCAGGACTTATTCTTGCCGAGGTTGGCTCGCACGCCAGCATCGCGCCTTCGGTGCGTCTTTTATCTCCATCTCAAATAAGGGATCTTCTTGGGACCAGGACTGAATGAAGGTGGGAGAGAGGGTGTGTCTCACGGGGCCCAGGAGGGAGAAATTGTGGTTCTGAGAAGGTATTTTTTGGCCTCTTGAAAATGTGCAAGAATTCCGCGGGCCCAGGCTTTCTTTGTGTGGCGGGCAGCGCCAAGCGCTTTGTGCTTCACAAGGAGAAAATGGCGAGTCCTATTGTGTTTAGGCCATTTTCTTCCGGTACCAGAATTTTCCCAAGTTCGAAATACTTCTTCAGAAAGTAGCCTTCTCACGCCCAGGAAAGTGTGAATCGCTGAGGCTCGGCCCCATGGCCTGGCGTGGGTGCCGACCTCAGTTTAAAACCAAGGGCCTGTTTTCTTACCGTTGGGATACTTATATCAGAGCACAGATATGACCGGTTTGTGCTGATCGGTGTCCTCCAAAGATCAACAGCGGCTCTTGGGGTTTGGGAAAATAAGTGTCTATTTAAATATGCATATATACATACATATTTAAAACATATTTTTCCTGATAATGTGAAGGAGAAAATAAAAAACGAAAGACAATTACATTTTTGAAAGAGGGAATATTTCTTTCCCTTTCTCCTTTCTCCCCCTCAAGGAAACCCCAAGAGATGTTAAATGTTACTCTGCCGGGTCAGTCTTTTGTTTTTTAAACTGAAGATGAAATGCTATTTTGGATGGAAGAATTATTCCTCATCTTAGCCACTGGAACATATGCTTTGCTAGAAAAAAAAATGTAAGGCGTTAGAGATGGATTTAGTTTAATGCTCTTAGCCTGTGTGTGTGTGTGTGTGCTATCTATATGCTTCTATATAGCGATGTAAATATGGAGAGAGAAATGATTGAAAAGGTTGTTTGGCTTTTGCCCCTGAATTTGTCATTTTTGTAATTTTTCCGCGCTTGTTAAACCATATATAAAAGTGGAAAAGGATGCCTATACAAGAATGTCTATGTCTCTTTTGAAAACCGCCAAAAGAATATTGCAGGTTGAAAGATAATATTTCCTATTTACTACAATTATTTGGATCTTTCAATGGAGTGGTGGTTTTGTCAACTCAAAAATAATGAAATGCAAACTTTCCCTATCTGCTTCCTGTACCTTCAATTTGGTGGCAAATATAGAAAAATGAAAACAACTGGGATGGGGAAGAGAACTTAAAGCCTATAGCGTTTCCCCCTTTTGATATCATTTTAAAATGCTAGGGAGTCTAATTTGTGCAGAAGCGTTGTGACTTTCATTTTTCAAAAGGTAACACTAGCATATTCTTTCATGTGGATCAAGACCATGGACAGCGAACTAATATTAAATCACTGAGCAAAAAGGACTCTAATAAAATGTTGAGACCTGAGTGGAAGTTTACATTCAAAACATGTTAGAAAGGAAACATAATCTTTTTGGTCTTTAAAAGGAATTTTAGACTGGTAAAATGTGGCATTTCAAACTTATTCTACCAAGTTTCAAAGAAACAATGATTATGTGTTCAGTTTTTATCCTGCCTTGAATAGTATATATTATTTATCCAATTAAAATAAGATAAAGCCCACCTTTTGGTACTGGTACATATAAAATTTAAATCTGTCATTTTTAGATGTAGAATGTTTTTCATAAGGCCTTGAAACAGAATGGGGATAGAGAAATTTTACTATTTCAGACTGGCATTGGCTGAATGACACTACAGAAAATTAAATTGATTTTTATCAGTGACTGAATTTCTAAATGCATAAAATTGGGAAAATTAAATGCCACTTTGATAGACAGGAATAATATGAATGGAGATATAATCCAGCTATTCCTTTTACCCCTGTGTAGGCATTGTATTCTATAACTGACAGTGCAATGTTGTGAGCAAGCATTTATTTTTTTTCCAAGAAAGTCACAGATTTTTTCATATATACTGATTAGATTTGGAGCACAGGATTGGTTCAGTGTGGCTCTGTGCTGGAGATCAGCTTATTTTGTTTTATACATTGTTTGAATAGTCTTTACTCCTTTACAGAATTAAAATTCATTTAAAACAATTTCATTTGTGGATTACATAACTTATTCAAAATTGCTCATTTAAATTTCCAGTTTGATGTGTCTTTTGGCTTATTTCATAACCTGACTTTAGTGTGACCTGTAAAGGCCTGGAAAATCATATAAAGCAAAAACAGAATGCAGGTTAGAAAAATGAAAATAGTTTATAATTAAGTTAAAATTACATCAATTTAAAAGGACCTTGGAGTTTATAAATAAAGTAATTTTTGATCTTTATTCATCAGCTTTGGGCTATAAAATGAAACTGCAGTTCTTTGAATGTGCAGGTTGCTAGAATTAGATGCTACATATATTTTGAACACACACACTTATTTTAATATTTTATTTTTAGACAACGTATTCAAAGTACTTGAGAAGAATATGCAATGACATTTTTTCCGTGTCCTAATCAGGACCATGGTGAGGTCCCCGTGGTTTACCTAGTGGTGGTCCAGGGCTCTGGTTGGGACGCTGAGTTATGTTGGCAAAGAGTCATTGTTTTGAAAGGCACATTCGTCCGGCATGGCATTCGTGATAAGATTAAGCATAAACCTAAACCTTGGCCTGGGGGGAAGGAAGGCTGCGGGGTTGAAAAGAGGAGATGCAGATTAGCTCTGCTTTTGCTGCTTGCGCACGTAATTAAGAGGCGGTCCCTCAGCTGGAACGTGGGCTCTGTCCGGCCTAAGGTGCTTATTTTCCTGTTACTTGGCCAACCAAGTGTGAGTGAACAGGAGCCCGAGAGCTTAAATGCGGGATCTAGATAAGGTGTCGACGGGTTGTGGGCGCTTGTCTCCATGTTAGGGAGAGGCAACTGAGAACGGTGACTTTGGCTTGTTTTGAGAGAGCTTGGGTTTTGACAGCAGGACGGCGAAGGGAGCGCTTGGAGAGGCTGGAAGCTCGACGTCTTAGGGAGCTGCCTACCGGCACTGGGTTGACGCCAAGGGGTTGTCGGCAAGGGCAGGGCTCTTGCCCTCTGCTGTACCCAGGCTCTGCAATTGGGGGCTGCAAGCCTTCTGCGGCTCTTTGGTTTCAAGGACACAGCGAGCTGCTCAGGACTTTGGGAGCCAACATCTGTCTGACTGGTGACGTCAGCAGCCCGTGTAATCCTCTTGTGCTGAAGGCAGATGCCTTATTTGTTTGGCTGGAGCGAGCCATTAATCCCTAATTCTGGATCAGCAAGCGAGGGGGAAAGACCGGACCGCTCCGACCCAACCCCTCCCTACCCCCACCTCCCACCTTAAAGCACCTTATACCACAGAAGCCTCTCAGCCTCTTCTTTCCTCTGCGAACGCGCTGAGCAGCGATTGAAAACGTTTTGGTCCTCTCCAGGTTTGAGCAGGGCTAGCAGGTCTCGCTCTGGATTTCTAGGGCTATGGGTGCATGTAATTCTTTCTCTCATCGATCCTTTCGATTTTCTTGCCGTTCTTGCAGTTTGCAGGGTCCAAAACCAAGAGGGGTGGAGACTGGAGAGTGCGGGTCTGGCGTGTGGTCTAAAGGAGGGGGTGAGGCTGGGGAAAGGGGGTGCAGAATGCGGGAACGGCTGGAACTGCACAGAAGGACTATCTGCGGGCGCGTTTTCACGGCTCCAGCTCCCGAAATCGTTTCTCTGGACTCGGAGGTGTCCGCAGCGCGTGCACCCTCTTTGGGACTTCCGCAGACCGGACCTACGCTCACAGCCACCGCGCCACTCCCCTCCCCCCGGCCTGTGGGCCCCGCACTCCGTGGGCTCAGGGTCCCCTCCGCGTCCCCCTGAAGCCTGGGGACAGAGGTCGCGACCGGCCGACTGGGGTCCTGTCCTCTCGTCACCTTGTGTCCCTCGCGTGCTCCCTCCCGCCTCGTGTCCCTGCTCCCCACCCTCCCCCTCCTCTCTCCCACCTCCCTAACACTGCGCTTTGATTCTGTTTTTCAGGGGCGCGTTCTGGGGTCTCTGCACAAGACCAGCTCTCAGCTCTCTCTCCTTTCCTCGGACTCTGGAGCGGGAGCGGGCCTTTCCCTCGGGCCGACCACGCCGTAGGGGACGCCATGAAAAGAGCCGTCGCGCCCGCTGCCTCCTGCCCGCTGCGCAGAGGGCTCCGCCCGTAGAGGTCAACTTCCCTCACCCTTTCCTCTCTCCTGCTCGCCCTCCCTCCGCTCGGCCCAGGCGCTTCCAGCCGCAGACTCTGGCCACAGGCTGAGGAGTGCGAGTCGGCTGCGCTGCCCTGAGCCGAATCGCCCTTCCGGGCCCAGACCCGAGTTCCGCGCTCCCGGGCAGTGGGAAAGCTTTAGTGAGCAGCCTTTTCTCTCCGCAGCAAACTCGTAGCCAGACCAGATGGGCCGCCCAGCTCTCTCGGGACTAGGCAGGTGCGGTTGAGTTAATTTTTCCGCATTACAAAGAAAGATGACCCAGCCCGCCCTCGGACTCTCTTTTCCCAAAATCTCCCAACAAAACCCGCGGTAACGTTATCAGAGGACACAGAGACCAGGCATATCTGTGTGTTTATCTTACAGGCACACAGGCATGTTTGTTTTCTCTTTTATGTGCTAGATTTCATCCCTGACAGCAGAAAATGATTGGCAACGATTCTGACGGAGAACATGCAATGGCGTGGTCCTTAAAAACCTGCCATTCCTTACAAGTGCCTTAGAAAGGATTCAGGGCGGACCAACTGGGTTAATTGCATTCAGTAAAATAACACTATTACAAAATTAGATCTGTACCAGAGGGGTAATTAACTTGGATCCACGCCGTCATTTGAAAACTAGATTTATAGGCGTATGTATGTTTTTAGGCGTGTGCTGTAAATGGCATGGAGATATATGCATATGCATACGCAGACACACGCACTCGTCTACACTTCCACGGAACAGACTAATTAACAGTGGCTCTGGCAGATGTGTCAGAGATGAGCAGAGACAGGAGCTGGGCTTATGAGTTATGACTCTGGGAGTAGAGACTCAGAGCCGGGGGC